GTGTATATATACTGTATATATATATATACTGTATATCAAGGCTGCCCAAACATTTTCCCCAAAATGAAAATCTATCTGAGGGCTGGGGCCAAATGCAAAAATATAATTCATGAAATACAAATACTTCTTAAGTACAGTACTTTAATTTTAATGATTATGTCCTGCTGGAGAGTGACATGATTTGTATGTTTACAAACTAATATGGTATCAGAATTTTACACATTTATACTTCTCATTCAACCACAATTAAATTCACTCTGTCTAGGAAGCACAATTTATATGGATAGTATTTATTTTTACAATAACAAGCTGGAATGAAAGCAAGAAAAAATTAAATAAAAGTAACGACTTTCTACTTCTTGTCTTTTTAAAAAAAATGTATAGAGTAGAAAGTGCAGATAACTGTGTGAAAATGTAAGAAGTAGAAGTAAAAAGTAGGCTGAAAAATAATTACTCAAGTAAAGTACAGATACCCAAAAATTCTACTTAAGTACAGTAAAGAAGTATTTGTACTTAGTTACTTTACAACTCTGCCGATCTCACATAGGGGATATTCAACGTGTTGGATTGTCTCAGCCCGAGGACAAACAAGCACGCAGCCGCTTGAATGTGACGTGTAGCCAGTCAAAAAGATGGAAACCTGAAAGATGTCTTTGCAGTGTGGCTGTACACCACACACTGCAGGACCAAACCTGTTACATCATTGTTTTGTTTTTTGTTTTTACCYTCGTGTGTGGGATCTCTCAGTCTTTGAAAATCAACCGACAACTTTAAAATCTTGCTGTGTGAACCAGACATAAGCTGTAAGCTCATCAATTTGGTCAAAATTAAACTCCAATTCTCCAAAATCAGGTAATCTAAAGAGACATCTACAACAAGTAAGATACTAACTATTCCTAATTGTGCCACAGAACCTCACATTACGTAGACAAATATGAGCTTTACCCCAAAACATCTGCATCACTGCAAAATAAAAACAGATGTTTTCAAAAAAGAACATTATTCTGAGAGTAGCTTTAATTGCTCTTATAATATTGTTATTCTTGTCTGTAGGAAATATTTAAATGGTTAAATACCTATAAAATAAGTATATACAATTATAAATCTTTATAAAGAATGGCCATTCCAAACCTGTACTAAAATGTTATTAAAATGATTCATAACTACTTTCTTTTGCAATCTTTTTTTTCCTATTATTGTGATCCTTAGGATAAAGTGCAGCTAAGGTTGCACTCTCCTGATAAAAGAAACGTAAGAGTTACAAAACGCTAAGGGACAAAGAACTCTTCTGCATAGTTTGTCTGGATCTAATCATCCAACCGCATCAGATAACCTGTGCAACAAATACGAATCACTGCACTGAGCCAAGCAGAATAATGTTGAATTCAGAGGCTTCCCTGTGAGGCAAAAAAAATTAAAAAAAAATCTACGAGGAACCTATCACACTCACAACCACCAGACTCAAAGCTGAATTAATTCCCAGGCCAAAAAGCCACAATATTACACTGTTAGTCATCCAGCGTGAGCACATTCAGGTCCTTGGACAAATAAAAAGCAATCAACGCTCTCTAACTCAGAAATGTAGTGAGTCATTTACGTGCGTGAAGGAAGCATTCTCCAAAGTGCTTGGCGCCGGTGATTGATGGGAAACAGGGATGTAAATGTGTTGTGTTCCCGTGCATATTTTAACGTGCACGTTTTTTTGTGCTACAGTGAGGCTCTGATCGATGGCACCTCAGTGTTTGATATACAGTAACAACACAACTTGTTTCTGCGTAATGGATGACTGGATGATTGAGAGTCGAGACTCAAACCGACATCATTAAGCTTTCTTAGTGAGCGYGTGTTTTATTATGGTAAACAGGAGAGAACATGCTCCTGATATGGARCGTGCATGACAGAGTGCAATGTAAGGACATTGTAATTATCTTGAAATGTAAATTTAAACAGGGCAGCTGTGACGGCTTGTCACATACAAACATCTCTGCTGYCGCTGGCGAATGGGCTGAGTGGATGGATGAATGAGTTTAAGATGAATGTGGATTTTTTTTTTCGTTTTACGTCTGGCTTAAACAGAGGCTTATGAAACTTCTTAAACAAACACTTAAAGATCCGTTTATACATTAGTGGTCTTCTTGTAATATTTTATGTCTTGTTTACAGATTAATTCAAGTGGGAAATATATGTTTTGCAAGAGAATCTGGAACAAAGATGCATTATCTGTGATTTCGAGTTAGTTTAATACATAAATTATTTGGAAACACATGAAGGAAAGACAGAGTTTGTAATATGTGATAAATGCTGTGTTGAAGCTGAACATCATGGACACTTTAATGAACAAATACAGAGAAAAGGCAAAACAGAGCTGAGGATTTATTGAAATATTATGCTAATTCTCCTTGTTGTTTTAGTTTCTTAAAATCTGTGAATACAAAAGTAACTTGTACAATATGTAAACTGCAGCTAGACTTTTTAAATGAGAATATTTATTGTTTTACCAAAAAATAAGTAAAATAAGTAACTTTGTGCTCCTCATGAACATAGCCCACATTAGCTTTTAAATTCAACCTAATCCAAGATGGCTGCCACAAACACCTGACCTTCAAAAACCCAAAAATGGCTGTCAGTTTTACAGATAAGGTCCTAAAATGTGGTGTAATTGTAGCTTGGAAGGATTCAGAACACAAACTCCAAGAGCTACCTTTTGCACAAAATATTTCCCTAAAACCTCAGCATGAACTCTGGACGTTAACCCACTGATTCTGTTAGCAAAACATTGCATAAACTATTTAACAGATTCTAATCAAGCATCTTAAAATCATTGATTTTCCATTAGAATCAATTTATTTTAGTAAAGTTCCCAGAGTTGATTGACCCTAGAAACCCTCAAAATGGTTATCAAATTTAAATTAGCCTAAATTTGATGTGGTAGTAGCTGAGAGTCATTTCCAACATATTCCAAAGCATGCATGACATTACACATATTACTTATGGCAAGGTTTTATCAAAATGGCTACATCTAAGGTGGCCTTAGTCTAAATGATATGAAGTCCTTTAAAGAAATGCTAGGCCTTTCATTTGTTGATGACTCATCAAAACATTTGCACACAAATGAGCTAATTTTAACAGAAGCAGGTCATGACCGATGATTTGAAAGTATTTGAAAGTTCCACGTGCAACCTTCACCTAAAATATTTCAGCATTTCGAAAGGCACACGCACAAGAACTTTTCTCCCTGGGATTTTCAGGTGAGTATTTTGCAGCACACTCAGCCTAAGCTGGAGCTAAGCTGGCAGCAAACATCCGCAGGTGGTTCAGGGCTAAGCTGGAAGGAAACAGGAAGTCCAAGAAAAGACATGGCGGGTTGGGGGGGCTGTGAGGAGGAACAGAGCCAAGATGATGAGTCAGAGAAGAAAGAGGAGAGAGGAAAGAGAGAGAGAGGGAAAAAAAGATCAGCAGGTGAAGAGAGGAGTAGTGGAGGAGAGAGGAAGTCGGAGGGGGAGGCAAAGGAGAAACGGAGAGAGAAGGGGGTCTGACACAGGTCATGTATTGTTAATGTGAAACCCCTTCCCTATTCAGATCCTGTTTCACTGCAGAGCAGCAGAGAGAGCAGCCTKGATGGGGAGACTGATGGGCAGATACACGTTACGGCAGGATGCCACTCAATTTGATCCTGGAAGTCAGCGGTTTCTTGTAATCCCACCTTTCCTCAAACTGAGAAACTCTCAGAAGGACTGACCGTCTAATGATAGCAGAGGAAGTGCAGGAGAAAAAAAAAACATTCTAAATACAATGTGATGAATCAGATCCTGTGGATTCATTTCAGTGATCTAAGATAATCTTTGTAGTGCATAAATGTAGAGAAAATAATTCAATTGTGTRTTTTAATTTTAAAGCCACTATTTATTTTACAACACCAGAGATCAAAAATCTACTATATGTCCTAAAAACATCAGTTTAATTGAAGATACACTTTTTTTTTAAAATAAAAGCAATCATGGCGTCAATTTTGGACTTCAGTGAGAACAGGTTTGTGTTGATAATTTTTCACAGATGTTTTTCCTCCATCCCCTGCAGTCATTCATACAATAATTATGCATTTTATAACAAGGACTGAACAGAAAAAAAATCTAAATAAGCCAATTAAAAATACATTTCTAAACATATTTTTGCTTTGATAAACACCTTAAAAAGTAGTTCATTTACCAAACCAACCTCATAACTGTGCCATTTACTGATTACAATAATGGCTTTCCCAAAGAGCAGTGCAATTGATTTTTTTCTTGCAATTTGTGTGTGCATGTGTGTGTTTGTCTGGTATGACTGTGTGGTGAAACATTTATTTTTCCCATATTACCTTGACGGCCACCAGTATCTTCTCCTGGTCTGGTGAAAGGTTGTAACATTCAGCCAGGAAAACTTTTCCAAAGGCTCCCTCTCCCAGCTCCCTCTTCAACACGATGTTGTGTCTCTTAATGTGCTGAACAACTGCAAAAATGAGAGAGCAAAGAACAAATGAGGTCATAAACAAAAACAACAATGTAAATAATGCAAGTGTTACTTAACATGTTGAAATAACTGAGCTGAATGTCATAAATGCAGTTTTTAACTACTATTTTTTGTATTTTTTTTGATAAAAGTATTGGTTTGGTGACATGAGAACATTACGGTTTTATAGACAACAGAATAGGTTTTAAAAACATTTAATATTAGCACAAAAAGTAAGGGAATTTGTGTTTGATTACTCATTTGTTGTAACAATACTTCTTGGCAATAAATCTTACATCATTGGAAAGCCTGTTAATTTCCCTTTTTAAATGATGCCACATTTGTAAGGAACATGTGTTTGTGGGATGAGCAGCAGAGCTGAATATGTGGGTAGCATACATGACAGAATAACCAAATTTTCTCTGCCAAACTGCTTATTCTGATGTTTCTATTGACACGTTTTTTAAGCTACTGGTACCCCCAGGTGCTGCTAATCAGGTGCCCGGTATAAGATTTGCTGCCATGAAGAATTGTTACAATAAAGAATACACCAAACACAAATTGACTTGCTTTTTGTGCTAAATATATTTGAACTGTTGCAAATATGAACTTTGACTAAGAAAAAATGGTCCTTGTCGGAGGWGGCTAACTTGGTGTTGGGAATATTCACATCTGATACTTTCACCCTGGAGACTCAGTTTTCTGGTATGTAATTTATTCAACACATTCTTGCTCCTCATTAGCCTAACAGAGTGTTTGTTATGGAGCCTCTGGTTGCATTATTGACCCTCACTGGTGTGGAGAAGAATTATCCACCAGAGATGAGTTATGAGAAGTGGTACAGCATTTTAAACTTCAGTTTATTTATTTTCTTTTCCTTTTTTGGTTTTACTTTTGTCTCTGATTTCTTGAATTCAGGCACTAACAAAGCACCACAGGTTAGGACTTACAGTATGTATGATGGGATTAAAAGGCATATTTGATCAAAAGGTTGTGTAAGAAAAATATGCGTTGTTCAAAATGGAATGTCCGAATAAACAGGAATCCGCTGGATTTCTTCTCAAAACTTTATTCTCAATCTTCTGACTCCAATCAGGTTCACAGTACAGCACGCAGGCCTCAGCGTAAGACCTTGAGCTAAATCAAAACAAAACACTAGAGCCCTGCTCTAAAGTAGAGACTCTGCCAAACACTGACAACTTCTTTTTTTACAATGAATTGAGCTTATAATGTTCATCTCTTCCTGGTTACACCTCTGGAGGTGTTACCTTTTATGTCAGACATCAGAACTCATTTGTGTTTAGACTAAAGAACGAACACATGATAACACACACACACACACACACACACCAACTCTTTGTCTGCTTTAACTTAAAGGGGACCTATTATGCAAAATTCACTTTTTAAAGTTTTTTTTACTCAACTTTGGGTATGTACTTCTTAAAAAAACAGTCCTAGGACCAAAAAAATGCACCCAGGGGCATATTTGCTGTAAGTAAATGTATTTTTAATGTATATTAACGACAAGTTTTATACTTCTGTCATTTTGTGATGTCACAAACCGTATGACAACCCACCGGAACCTGCGTTCAGCCCCGCAACTAGCAACCCCCGGGTAAAGCTCCACCTCCTCCGTATAAAAAGCCGTCACCGTGTTGTTGTTTAATGTGCAGCTCATTTCATAATAAGCCTCCAATAGGGTAATGGGTAAAGTGTTGGACCAGAGAGTGGGAGACCAGGGTTTCAGACCAGCATGGACACTATTTAATTATTTATTTATTTTCATTCATTATGGACACGTTTTCTCATGTACCTCTCTTGTTCAGCTTATTAAAGCCTTGATAAAGCCTATTTGTTCGAGTTTCTGAGGTATTTTGACCGCTGCTGCTCCTTATAAATCTTATTATTAAATATTTATTATGCATTTAAACATCAATTTATTCCCCTAAACTTCTTTTAAAAATGTTGGAAATTATTTATCTTGGTGAATCTGAACAATTTGTACCTTTATTCTAGTGAGTTATAAAACTCTTAATATTGCACAAAGGATGGTGAATAAAAACACCCTGGTCAATTATTTAGTAGCACTTGTTTGATGAAATATATGTCGAAAAATAAATAAATAAAATTATGAATCATATTTGTCATTATTTTTTTCTAAAAATTTCAATACAGTAGTTTCATTTTCCTATTTATAAATATAGAAGCACAATAAAAAAATAACATGGTGTAGTACATAAATTTCAGTGGAATTCATACATTAATATTTTGTTAATGCTGCTATTTCATACAGACAGTCTTCAGATAGGGCTGTAACGATTAATTGATTAATCAACGACTAATCGATTATTAAAATAATCGATGACTAATTTAATAATCTATTAGTTGTTTTCTTTTTTTGTTCTTTATTTTGTTTTTCTCTCCAAACTGCTTTGACACCTTCCACTGCCACATCTGCCTTTCTGTCCTTGACACACATGCACAGTAGTGGT